TCGTCTTTAGGGCACGCTCGTCTTTAGGGCACGCTCGTCTTTAGGGCACGCTCGTCTTTAGGGCACGCTCGTCTTTAGGGCACGATCGTCATTACGGCGGTATCGTGTCGCAGGGGATGGCCTGTCGCGGACCGGAGCTCGAGTCATGAACCACTCCATGTTGGGACGGCCCCAATCTGCATGGAAAGATTGGTTAATCCAGCCCACTCCCTGGTAATGGAGCTTTGATTCATCCGCTTTGCTACAGTACAAAACTGTTTTTGCCTCTATATCAATGGTCCTTTGCACTTGATTGATTGACCCGCGCCGCGATTCATTCATCCGTGCGCTTCATACATCTGGGTTGGGAACAATCCCATAAGTGTAGGAGTGGGGGATGGTCTACTGCTCTGTCGGTGGCCACTGGACAGTCGAACAGCCCAGAGGCCCTGCTGACCCCGGACTATGGCGCCAGGATAGGACCGGGCGTGGAGCGATGTGTTCCCGCTGCAACGTCGCTCTGGAGTGCCCTGTCTGGATCGTGTCACCTCTCAACCGGTTCTTCTCCTCCTCTGTTCTTATTATCCGGGCTGATTGAACTTCTCGTAGGAGATTCTCCAATGTGTGATTCTAGCCTATGTGCGTGGCGGCGGAGAAATCGATCTACTCCTCGCAGGGAATTGCTCGAAGATGATCTAGGCTTTAGCATAGTGTGAGGAGGACCAATTACATATACGCAGTCTGCCGAGCCGGCATTGGCACAAAGGCTGGATTTGGATTGGTGGAATCATCCTTCTAATTATAGGGAATCCAGAAATTCAACTACCCCTATTTATAGATTTAGTAACACGCTAACACATAAATTGGGGCTCATTAGTTTTCGGAGAACCAAGATTTTCTATTCGTGACAGCAATCCCGCGGTAGCTCATCGTCAAACGATGCACCACACGACAATCATGCCCTCATTCGTACATGTCAGTTCAGATCGGTTTTGTATATCGATATGGTAATGTTGAGCTTCAGCAGAGCCTTGTGGAGACGAAATACTCTCCCAAGCATCGTTCTGAGGAAGCCTTCACATAAATAATTTAGCCCTGAATCGGTAGGACACTGCAGTCCGCAGGCTCCGCATCACGAGACGGCTCAATTTGGCGTTTGTGGTGAGCCCCTTCGACCCTTTATCGGCGTCGTACCGCCAAACGAAAAGGTCCTTGACGTGCATCCGTTGAGGCTCAAGCTCTGCAGGATGTTTCTTGCACATGTATGGGGCTAATGCGGAGCCAGCTACTGTATCCATTCGAGTGAGTGGTCTATCATAACTCTTCGCCCTGTCGATATTGCAGCCTTCTGGGTTTGAGATTTCGACTTGAGCGCGGAGAAGTCCTCTTTCACAGAAAGACTCCGAAGTGTCGCTTCGGTGCTGTGTCAACATCATTATTGGGTTGCCGAGGGAGCCAACACCCATGGAATCATATATGCTTCCGTTGGCACACACCTAACACAGGCTTAGCTCGCCTCAACGCTTCTCTTTGCCTGGTTGTCACATCCTAGACGGTAAGGGAAAGAAGTCTTGGCATCGTGCTCAACCATATTTATGCTACTTTCATCACAATCGCTTGTTTAACATGACCCCTCACGTAACACGCAGTAAATTCCAGCACAAAAGGGCCAGGAAATAGCGAATTGTTTCTACTGATCTGTCCGCTTAGCTACGCGTACAGCTGCAATATTCGATCACGTGCAAGTGGGCCTAGACAGGTGAAGACAAAGAACTTGGTCTGTGGGCTTCGCCCGATCTGAGGGCAAGTGTGTGTGGATATAGACATACACCTCAGTGGATGGTAAGTTCACGATGTGCTCCTTGATAGTTCTTCAAATATTCTATCATTTTCATCGTACTGTTCAGGATACTTAAGGACGATGCGGGAGAAGACAATTGGCTCCACCGTGCTCTGATCAGAAACGAAGGAAGTCTGGCGAATACGTTGAACAATGTACAGTCGAGTCGTTGGATCTGCATCATACCAGGGCACTTCTTCGAATTCAAAAGGTCCCCAGGCCGTGTCGTCGTCTTGATAATACCAGTAATGTAGAACTCGGTCAGTAACGTCCGTGATTTCCCAATCGAAGTCGTCTAGAAACTTTCTAGAGAGTTTGTGGTCGTTAGAGCCTTCCCCACCAAGACCAAGTGGTATAGAACCGAGCGGCGTATGGAGCCCCTCGAGGACTTCATATCTACCTCTCTTGTAGAAGGAAGTCTCCAGAATCAGATATTCGGGTATTCTGCAGTGGCTTCGCTTGATAGTCCACTGATCAAACCTGGTCTGTAGAGAAGTATTCATAGATTGAACCATCTCCTTCAGGCTTGGGAGGATCTCATGGTAGATCACAGCGTAATAGAGGCGTAGGTCATCGATAGAAGCCATGAGACCAGGAATATGAGCAGGGCGAGGGGAACGGCCGGAGTCCGCTGGCAAACATGTTAGCCGGCAACCTCAGAGAACAATCTTAACCTACACATGATTTGTACCGTGCGTGTCAACCAGGATAAAATATTGATTAAGTGCCAACAATGAGTCTCTCAGGGAATTAAAATGTAAGAGAAAGCTAGAAGATCAATCAACCTTGGGCTGGATGGATGTATTTAAAATAGGTATTCAGGGTCCAGGTGCTGCCAAGACCCAGCAATCTATGGTATCACACTCAGGATGCCTGGCAAAGAGATCCAAGTAAGGTGAAACCTTGCAAGGAGTCTACAGAATCTTCGAGATTGGTCGCTCTACAGCCAGGAAGTAAGAATTACACAACTGGCAGGCCCGATGAGTCAATAGCTATTAGGTAGGTCTGTTGTGATATGAGGCTCAATCAACTATCATATGGTTGGCGGAAAGTCTCATGGAATCATTCCGCACGCTTGGAAATGATAGAGAAGCTTCTAGTATATTGCTTCAATGTATATATACTCTCTACATTCAGAAAGAATAGACACAAGAACAATGAATATATGCTTCCACTGCCATAATTCACAACAAGGTCAAGCCCTTTGAGAAATTACAAAGCGATATTGTGAGACAATCTCGCTGCAATTATGCGATATTACTGTATCAGGTCTTCATCTAATCACATGAGGCATTTCAACACCTACGGACGTGGGTTGGTACCTAGGTTACTCGTCAGAGCTCCCTATTAAGCCGAGAAAAGTGCGGTCATGAGATTTTTTGGCAAGAGTTGACAAGGTGGCTTTGGCTAAGGACTTTTCTGCGTGTCTCCCACATTTGGCACAGCGATATGTTCCATACTCCGGGCGGCAATAGACCTGGAATATGTAAAAGGCTGGTTTCATCGAGCTACAGGCAGGTACAACGCCTATTGACCATGACTTGGATTCGAAGGAGGCTTGAAAGGGGAATTGAAAAGGATGCTTCGTAAGCCGGCGTTGGACAAAGGGAGCGAATACCAGGCAGAAGCTGACTCACGGCGAACGTCCTCTTCTTCGAGGTTGAGTCTATCGCCACTGAGGAGCGTTATGCGTGGCTGAAATCAAAATATAGTTCTAGGAGTGTAGTGTGACAGGACCGGTCTCAGGAAATACGGGCTTGTTTGGATATCTAATGATATCTAATAATTCGTTCCAGCTCCGCAGACAGACTCATTCGACGACTTGGTCTCATTCACGACGAAACTATCGAATGTTGAGCATGATTGTTACGAACCAGGTCACTTGAAAGGTCGCCAAGGGAGTCAAGGCACCTGTACCAAGGAAAGGAA